CTACTACTACTACTACTACTACTACTTTTAGTACTGCTACTCTACTACTACCACCGCTATTACTACTACTACTATTACTACTACTACTGCTGCTGCTACTACTACTACTACTACTACAAAACCTGACATCCTTCCGAAGGAGCAGCATAGCGTTGCTAGTAGCAGTCGCCGCTGTAGCAGTACTTGTAGCAGACGCTTTTGCCGCAATTGTAATCGGCACTTTCTGTTGTCTACTGCCAGTCAATCTCGTGATTTTGGGAGGTTGGATGATCGGGGGTGCAAACGGCAATAGCGCAGTAGGAGGACTAGGAGCAGGAGCAGGAACGGGAGCAAGTCTAGGAGTCGTAAGGTAGCCAGACCGTCAGAAGGGACTGTGGGCCACACCTGCTTGTTTGCCTACCTACCTTAAGCTCCTGAACCTAAACCCTCATTCAACCCTTAATCGTTTTGCCTGCCGCCAGAGGAGGAGAGCTGGATCCAAATCCAGCCCCGACCCAGGGAGCGGAAAAGAGCTGCCCTGGCATCGGTGGCAATGATCCTCGGTTCAAGAAGGCCCCAGGAAGAACTGCTAATGCCCCTCGGCAAAAGGTCGCCTAGGGGCATTACAAGCAATGACCGAGTAATCATGAAGGAAGAGCACATCTTCCAGGATTTTTTTAGCAACCACACGACAGAGGAAAATGTTTGTGAAAGTTCCATGGCCCGAAAGCTTCGCATAATTTGACCAGGCATCTGTTTCGATATCCAGTGAAATAACCTCTGCTCTCCAACGACATGCCAACGACCAAAGGAGAAAATCTTCAAAACTTGTTTATGCGGACAAGATGAGGAAAGGTACTCCCAAAAGCTTCATGTCTTCTTACCGGCCCAAAAACACACTCATCGCTTCGTCGATCCATGCATTAACCGCAGACTCATCGCACCGACAGCTCCTGCCCCTCCCGAAGACAGCCTGAGCTCTAGCAAAAGCAACAAGAGCTGCAAGACATGGTTGTACCTGTACCGAAACTGTTCATATCGCCATTAGCCGAGATAAACCGGCGCGTATAAGTGCTGTTTGGCCTGGCAACGATAATCACAGAAACTATGACCATAAGTTTCATGCACGAAAATGTGGGGCCGAATGTGGCTGAGACATGCACGAGTTGTCCTGGCTCGATCAGAACGCAAAACACAACCTGAAAGGCATGAAATCATACGGCTTACACTCAGAAAAGCACGTCAAAAAAACATCCTTGGCCAACAAAAGCAAGCTTGCAACGAAAGCGGGTGTAGATGCAAAAAATCGAATGGACGGGCTGCAGACCGCAGAGGAAGGTGAAACGGGAAACGTAAACCTGCAAAAAAGTTAGACTGAAAGCAACACCGACCAGGGCATTGATGGGGACGGTGTAGATGACGATGATGACGGCAAGCAGGGATGACCATATTAGTCGTGAAGACAACCAAACTGATGCATCTTAATACGCTGGCGACGATTGATTGCGGATGCTGACATTCTACGTGAATTATGTGGCAGGACGGATGATTGTAAACGAATCATACTGCATGTCAATGGCGGTGGCAATTGGACTGCATTGATGACAGATGAAGCAAAAATCAGGATGTGATATTGATCATGAAAATTCACGCCAGGCACTGCAGAACTACAAGAAACATGCTGGGCTAAGATGAAGGATGAAAATGACCGAAAGAGCGGAATCAAAGAAAAAGCTACGGTGAGAGGCAACGAAACCGATGACCAACAGAGGACCAGCAGACTGCTGGAACTCACCTGCTGATGGGTTTTGGGCTGCCAAAACTATGGAAAAAGCGCGGAGGATGGAACAAGAAAGATGACGAAGGTTACTGATGCCAATGCTGACACGACAGATGAGGATTGTCATGCAACGAGAAGGAGTGATCAACGATGGGTGGAGGTGGCTTGGCAGAGAAGGAAACATGGATGACATCTGTCGCTGGCGCGGGGGCGCACGCCACTTCATGTGACGGGAACACAGCTGATTTCTCCACCAGGCGATACAGAACCACATGTGGTTCAGGAAAGATGATAGATCATGCGGACTTGTTCCGCAACTTGTTTCGCAAGGATAGGAGATCAGCCTTGACAGATCCCAGAGCATGCTGAAGCTCACAGCGGCGAAAGCAAAGGTGATGATGGATGGTGGACTCCGAAAAATTAAAGGAATGAACATCTAGAACAGAGATGGTGAATGATGCAGATGCTGGTACTCATGCACAATGTGATGATTTCATGATGCCTGCTCGGAACAACAAGAGACATGCTTAATGGTCGTCATGGTGGTGAGCAGCAACGTGGTTGTTGTTGATGATGATAAGGGATTATGCTTCCCATGCTCGTAGCCTACACAAAATGGCGAAAGAATTGCTTGGTGGGCATGGGGTCATGAAGATGACGGTGAGCAGCGGAGGCGGAGGCGGAGGTGGCTGCGGCAGTGGTGGCAGTGGCGATGGCGGCGGCGGTGCTGCTGCTGCATTTTGATGCGTGGTAGATACGATTACTCGAGGAAAGATGATCGTGGATGTTGAAAGTTGTTGAGAGGTAGATGATCGACAACATAGGAGCTTGGGGCAGCATAGCACTACGGGAAAGCGGTTTCGGGGGGCGGGAGGGGCGCCTTGATTAAAAATGAACTCTTTCCACTTCCGGACCGCTCCAGATCCTCACTGCTGAAACAGCAAAACGAAAGACTCACTAAGTGCCAAGTGACATATGATAAGTTCTCAAAAACATCCCCAAATATAATCCCGAGAAAGAAGCCCCGTGATCCCCTTATAATCCCACATGCTCAGATATCTCTGAGGATCCCCTATGTTCATACAAACTAGTATAGGACTTCTTAGGCCAGGGGCGCGCATCTGTGGATTGAAATTAATCCAGCGTGCCTCCGTGGAGGAAAAGGAGATCCAGTCGGGGTCAGGACCTGATCCAACCATTCCCCCCGCCTGGATTGCGCATTCCATTCTCAAAAAGCGAATCGTCTTGCAAACCCAAAAATGATCCGTCATGTAGGGCTACCAATAAGGAGGACCCTTAGTCGAAAGAACCTGGCTAGAGCATCTCCTTCCCCCTCTATTTATCTTTATCTCTCTGAATGAACCCGCTTATAGTATAGGCAGGGTGCGCATGCCTCCTTTCTTCTGTGCATAGGGCATAGGGCAGCAACTAAATAAACTGCTGTGAGATGGTCCTAAAATGTTTTCCGTTGCAACTGATGCAGGAAGTGATGCAGGCGACGCAAGAATTGTCATCATTCCTCCACATTACCCACGTCTTGGACTCGGAAAGCGGGGATGCTTGCAGGACCCTGCAAATTCGACAGGGACTTTGCGCCGGAGTCTGTAAGCGTCCCTACTTCAGCCTTAGGAGGGATTTGCTTAGTTGAATCATGGGCCTGCATGCCTAGCGGCGCATCACTTCCTTTAAACGCTGGATGTCATCTCGATCCAACTCCAGTGAAGGCTTGTCGTCCGACAGCGGCTCATCTGCCATTTGGCAGCGCGCTATCCAAGCAGATTCGTATCACGCACAAGCAGCTGTCCCAGCCTTGTTGCTGATTGTGCGTGTCTGTGTGTCTCGCATGCACTTTCTGTTTTGCAAAGAGCTTTTGTCTTAACCTTGTCATGGAATCATGAAACATGCCTGCTTGAGCAAAGGAAAACCAAAAGCCCAACACCGCCATTCCCCATTCCCTGTCTTCTGCTTATCAGCTTCCTCCTGCTCCGTACTGTAATACAAAACAGAAAGCTAGCGCTGGATGCCTGGTCTCCTTGACTACAAATCATGTAGAAAGGGTGCCTTCAGCCCGGTTTGGGAAATCTGTCTCTTCTGGGTCGCCTGCCACCTGAAAAGGCCCGCGCTCGATGCAACGATGCATGACATCCCCTCCATGCCGGTCTCTCCCTCAGCCTTTTTCTGCCGGTGTTGCTGCATGAAGCCGATCCCCCTTGTAGCCTTCATTGCTTGAATTAATTTGGCACTGGCAAGGCCCCCACGTTGACCTCTCACCCTTTTGAAGATCTCTAGAACCCAACATGTAGATGCAAATGTAACCTTGCACTTGTGGAAATGCTTTGGAGCAGGTCACTCTGACCTGTCCTGCTTGCAGTGCTCCTCACCGGCAAACGGCAAAGCCCAGTCAGCTGACGCGTGTCACGCCAACCAAGCAAATAATGAGATAACAATCTAGTATGCAACTCTACGCAACTCTGTACATTACTGAAATTATGTGTTCATTGTCTCACTTGGCCTTTCCAATTGCCCCCACTGCAAAGGCAACGCGATCCACCAGCTCTGCCTTGGAACCTTTTGTCGGCCACGCCTGAGACTGCAGCCAGCTAGCAAGAAGCCCCCTGCTTTGGCGACGGAGCCAGGCACAAAGCTCTGCTGCACCGTTTGCCTTCTTCAGGAGCGAATGTGCAGTTGCTTCAAACTCCTGATGCCGGCAAAAAACTTCAGTACCAAGTGTTACATGTGCTTACGCATGCCATGCTATGATGTCGAAGAGTGGATTTTGGCCTCCCAGTCCTTGCATTGTCGGGAAGACACTTTTGCCTGGGCGCTCTTTGCAGGCTCCGGCTTGTTCTTCGTAGGGGAAGGAGGAACTACTTCGACCATGTTTGTGGCCTGCACGGCCATGCGCAAGGGCACGTTGATAGTTGACCACTTCGACTGGCCAGCTTCATTGGCAGCTGCTACGTAGACAACTGCTGCGGCCTGCTGGAAAAATGCTGGCATCTTCACCAAGTCCTCCTCTGCCAGGACACAGCTTGTAAGCTCGTCCAAAGACAAACATCTCTTGAGCTCTTCATTGTATTCCGACTCAAGGACCGTGACAGTGAGCGGCTGGCCGAAGGAAGGATCAAGAGCTGCCACCAAGTACTTCCGAACTGGAGACGACGCTGATGTCGATGGAGGCTGCCAAGTGACACGGAAGCGCCGACGACCAGGCGCAGTGCAGAGCATGGCAAATGCTAGCCGCACAGGTGCTCCAGGAGGATGGAGCTCTGAAAACTTCATTTTATGCTCGCAGAGTTGCTTTGCCTGACGGAGCTCATCCATGGCCTCGGTGGCCCCACTGCAGGTCCCAATACGGTCCGGATGAAGCTTGCGCATCAGTGATCGGAATGCCTGCTGAACGGATGAGACTTCCGTCACCGACGAGTCCAAGCCTAATACTGCTTTGGCCCACATCAATTCGGATCTGAATGCCCTCTTTCCTTCCTGCAGTTGCAGGATTCTGGCCACTTCCTCCGAGGCCTCTCGTTCTCGTGCCTGCAAGATGTCGGCCTGCCGAACATGTGCATCCACTCAAGTAGGTCCAACTGATGCTGCAAAGCCATGTTGTCTAACAAGGCACCGCATGGGCACTACCATCAGCACCAGCATGAGCACGTGTCGGTGCTGGAGCTGTCCTCGAAGCAGGCCACGCACAAAAAAGTTCTGGTTTCAGCTTGAATGGGAATTGGCGCTGTCCATGCAGACTTGGGCTGGATGGCTGGTTGCAGTCATACGTATCAAGGGCCGTCAAAGGCAAGATCTTGCGAACTAAACATTGATTTTATCGTGGTTCACCTTATGTCCGCAATGTTGAGACCCCTCATGGCACATAATGATTCAAGATGCCCTGAAGCAGTTCTCCAACAAGGCTCCTCCTGTCACCCAGATTCGCCTTGGTCGGGTGGGTATGCCAAGAAATGCGCAAAGGTGGTGCGGAACTCCTTGTGCCTGGAAGCCCTTCAGTATGGGGATGAAGGCTAAAACCAGAAACCAGCAAGATCTCCTAAAGGACGCCACACACACATCCCTAAACACGGCGACTGAGACATCGACCAAAATTTAACTAAGGCTCATGATTTATGGAATTGGGGACTTGGGATTTGCGGCTTAAGGTTAGGAATCAAACTTTCGAGACTGCTTTCCTCAAGCAGCTGAGTTATCCTGGCTTTACATATTTAAGCCCGAAGGATGTTCCTCTTTACTTAGATGGGGGCCTAGGTGCACTCAGCACCCAACCACATATAGCAACAACAGTCTAAGCATGACCCGCCCACCACGTCATATCAAGTCATATGACGTCATACTTCTGGACAACATGTGAACTGTCGCTGGCATAAGTACTACTGCTGCTGGTACTACAACCATGGCGAATGGGAACGGAGGTGGTTGCTACGGCGATGACATTTACTACTAATTAGTGTTGATACTAACCCCCTACATGACCTCAAGTGCACTAGAATACCTTTCATTCCCAGCTATGAGGCACTTAGGTTCATGCAGGATTTGCATAAACCATACCACAAAATGCATGACGACTATCTGCAGAGGCCGCCGCCACTTCTTGCCGATCCTGGCACCCACTTGTGGGATCTCCACCTTACCAAGTATGGGCCGCACGGCGGCATGCGGGCTTATGTTTCTGTAACTACTGTATAGGCACGGGGGGCACAGTGTGGTTATGCTAAGGACCACGCCTAGATCTGCGTGACAAGGACTTCTGCAGGGTGTAGCCACGTAGGCTTTGTCTCCGTTCCTGGGTCATGAGCCGGAGAACAAGCCAATCTTGCCCCTCAGAGTCTATGGACCCATCTTTACCACATTGTAAAAAACGCATGCCGCGCTAGTACCGCAACGACTGTCTTCAGGTGCAAGGAAAAACTAGTGACGGCTAGTCAGCAAGTGGCATGCCATTCACGGATTGTTGTGTTGCTGAACCTGCGGAAGCTCCACAGCACCTTCTGAAATGCGCAAACCAAGCCGTACAGCGGCAGGTCGCGCCATGAGCATACCACGATGCTACTCACAATCATTTTGCTGTTACTCGTTATTCCAAATCGGTGCTTCTATGAACACTAGGACGAAACATCATTACAAGTGACTAGCACAAGAACCATCATCTGCCAAGCTTCCTCGCTGGAGAGCTCTGGAAGAGCAGCTTCTGCTGGCTACTTGCCTTTGGCACATTGCCTTTGAGGTGCTCCCGAGCCTGGGGCGTCCAGATTCCAAAATTCTGAGAACTTATGTGCTCTATACTCTCTTCTAGTCGGGATGAGAAGACTTGCCGAAGTGTGTACACAGGCTTTGGACAGTGCAAGCCTCCTCATAGCAAACCCCTACCCCTCTCGCCCCCAAGAACAAACATTCCCCTGTAGCTTGCTGTTGTAGGTGAATACTTCATATCAGGTTCTTGGGCGATGCGATAGTTTGGGGGTTCATCATGAACGGGAGGGGATGCTACAAGGGATCCTGCAACTTCAGAGCAGCCTCGCAAAAAGCTGTGCCAACTCATGGGCATTATCGCATTATCCAACTATGATCACTTTTTGAGTTACCATTATAACTTAAATTAGGCTATTAAAACAAGGAAACCCTGTTGTTTGCTATATACCCATATTAGGTAACTTAATTCAAGTTCCTCAACATGAGAAAACAGCCCCTCGTATCCAGGGGTCATACTTTGGACAACCCTTACTCTTTGACAGACCCCAGATGATGCTCCCAGCACTTCCTGAAGGATGAGAAAAGGGTTCTGGGGTAAAGTAGATGTTTTCTAAACAAGTGTTGTAAGGGGATACTCCTGACTTTAAAACTGTTTGTGGACTGGAAAAAAAACGCCTAGGCACCAAAATCTGTAGCATTCTTGTCATGTGTCGCTACTGACGCTTATGATCCTGTATGACTCTTACGATTAAGGCAGTCGCCAATTTCTACATAGAACTGCCCATAAACCCTAATCAGCCTCTCTCTCTCTATATATATGTACACCCCAAGTGTCCATTTCATTGTCTTGCTCACTCGATTCTTCATCGCTTGGGTAATGATTCCTAAGCCCCTATTTTGCAACTGGAATCCCACAGGCTCTGCCACACTGAAGGGCACCCCATCATACAGCTCTGGTGGCTGCAAGTGACGAAGCTTTCTGCAGGAAATGAACAGAAACAACCTCATACAGCAGTACCAGATCTCTGAAAGTAAATTGGTGATGTGATTGATGCCACAGACTTGCGTAAGCTTCCGCCGTGGACTGAGAATTCAAGACCTGTAGGCCAACAAATTCCCGAGCATCCTGAGGTGGGCGATGAAGGCACGGCCCTTAACCCCAAATTTCCACGTTCTTTTCCATTTTCCCTAGATAAGCCTATACCCCTTATGCAATCCCTGTAGTAATACTCCTGTATAATCCTCTATAATTCCTATACATAACACCCAAAATATAACCCTTTAGGTAACATCATTGCATCACTGCGACCGTGGGCCTTGCCTGGGGGGATGCCGCCATGGCGGCCCCGCGGGCTGCCAGACGCTGCCTGAGATGCTCTCCAGAAACTACTTGGAGGGTCCGGGGGCTTAGAACTAGCAAATAGGTCAATAATGGAAAAGAAAATGGAAACTACTAATATATGAGGAAATATATAGGGGATTTACAGGCTTATAGGTAATAATGGAAAAGAAAATGGAACGTACCAGATTATTTAGTGTTTAGGGCTTAGGTTGGGGGATTTGGTGAGTAGGTTAGTACTGGGGATAATTTGGGGTACCACATGGATTGTGGGGGGATTCTAAGGGTCATTGTGCGTGATAATTATGGACTACTGCCTTTCCAGGTAACCCTTCACAAGAGACACTCTCAAATTCCCAACTATCTCACCCCTGCTGCATAAGTATCCCTAGTCTCCCTATTAAATGTCGCAGCAAGGTTGACTAACATTGTCCCTAAACCCTCAACCCGTAGACCTTAAGCCCTAAACCCTAAACCTTGAGCCCTGAACCTGTACATTGTCTATGTTTTGAGAACCTCCCGCCTCAGAGAAAGCTTCGTCACACCGGGCTTCGCCTGAGCAGGCTCTTGCGTTTTATTAGGATCAGGGACACTGCAAGGATTATATGGAGTTTTACAGGGATTATTTATGGATACTGTAAGGATTGTCTAGGGATTCGGGTCATGGAACAAGATGGAAACTACCACGTTAGACTAGGGTATGTTTAGTTGCGTTTTACTCCCCACCCCCCAGCAATAAACTCACCCCATCTAGTACCATCACCATATTAAGCATGCGCATCGCAGTCAAGCAGGCACGGTACATTCAGGGATCCCAGTGAAGCAGAGCCATCACCATATTAGGGGGACGGGTTTATTATGTAAGGGAGGGGATTACCAGGTTTCTGGTTAGAGACTTAAATGAACCCACTTTTGTGAGGAAACCATTTTCCTTTCGACATATCCACACTATGGATAGTCAGCCTCAGTCCCTTTTACCTCGGGGACTAGCCGTGATATACTTGCGTCTTTCAGTAAGCGTCCGACGTGTCCCCGACAATCTTGCAGTAATTGCACAAGGTGATTCGGGAACCGGCCCATCAGTTATGGATGCCATAACTAGCACCACCACATCACCACCATCACCACCACCACCACGCCATTGATTATTAACAAATCCTGCAAAGGATACTTCAAAACTTGGTGGGGTAGTCGACGCCATCCTGTCGCTGGGATAAGCGCCACATACACATTCTGTTCCTGATCATCGCCAACATCATCATCATCATCATCAGCCAACATCCGGATGCAAAGCCCGCACTGCATAGCGCCTGTCGGCGGTGAATGTTTACTGCCCACTGCAGTTTTATGATTACGTACTGTTGCTTCCCACAAGTGTATTTGTTTGCGCGCTTCTCAGGGATGCCACATGAGATCTGACCAACTGCGTGCGATGCGGAAGTTTCATGCGGTCCAAAAGACCAAGTAAAAAGTGGACCCCACCAACACGCTTTCTTGAGTCACCAACGCATTGCTCGTGTGCGCTGTTTCTTCAGAACCCCACATGGGATTGGACTGCAGACAAGGGTTGGACGGTGCTCCGACTTCGTGGTTCGAAGTCGCTGGCATCGCTCTGCTGATCCTGTACGGCGTGTGAGGAGGCCTTCACTTTTTCAGGAATAGCTGAAAAGCAGGGCTGTTCTAGTTGCTTTGTACGATGTGCAGGGGGCGTGCGGGAAGATAACCACATTGTGAAGTAAACCCCGCGCAAAAGGTCAACACGAACTGTAGTGAAATTGCAGTCTACACCGAACACATTGCCTCTCCATCACCCCTAAGGGTAGGGGATGTAGGGGGGCCCAAATTCTGATCACCACTGCCACGACAGTCGCTCCTCTGGCGGTGCTGGACTGTCAGTAGGCAGCGGGGACCGAGATCGATCTTTTGAAGAACCTCGAAGCTTCGCACAAAAATAGAGCATAGCCATGTGCAGACGGTATGCTGCAAGTGAAGGATGGTTCAAGCCTTCACCCTCCTTGGATCTCATCCAGAAGCTTAGCGTTTGCTGACCAGCGCCACCTCCCCGCAAAGGGCATGTCCACGAAGTCTGACTACAACAGTGGCAGTTGCTCTGCCTCGCACAAATATCAACCATCACCAATCACCGCCTGCTGGTCCTCCTTTGCCGCGTCTGGGCGCCATCGCAGGGGCTGCTGTGCTTCTCGCACATTCAGTGTTCTGTTTATTCCTTGCACCCCTACCCCAACTGTCTGCTGCATGCTCGACATATCACTGGTCCTCGGCCTGTCTGTCTGCGTGCCCTCTTGCTACAAACACGAATCACAGGAGAGTTGTTCTTCTTAGGGCAGGGCCGTAACAGAATTTAGAAACAATCCGTCAGCCAGCACTTGCATTTGCTCTGATCTGCGGTGATTTCCGCGTGCGCTGACCTTGCTTGGACAAAGAAACGTAAGGCAGCAGGCACAGGCTAGAATTCAAGCAAGAACAGTGCCATCCCTTTCTGGTGGCGCCGATCATATCCCCTCATCACAATGTTTCAACCCCCTTGCTCTTGATGAAAAGGAACGACTGCAAAACACAATGATGGAAACACGAGTCTTCCTTGTCAGGGGTGGCATCTTTTCTTTACGGGCAGAGATTGTTCGGGTCACTTTTGTTGAAGCGCTAGCGGCCAGCGGTCCATCAGTATAAACGCGGCATTCTGCCAAGTGGAAAACCGAAACCTGGGCACATCTCAATTCGCTGCACTCACCCATGCATGGCAAGCTCGAAGACAGCCGCTGTACCCTTTGCCATGAAGTTGCCTTAGGCAGAGGTGATCAGAGCATTAAGTGTTGCCATTCGTACAACCAAACAAACAAACAAGTCAAGTGCTCCAGCAGCAGGCAAGTATGTACATCTTCTGCAAGAATCACAACAAATCCATGCCACGGCTAGCCCTGCAGTACACTCACAAGCTTTGACTTAGCGCTTGCCCAGCCACGTCATAGCAAGCTACATGTCACCACAGCCTGTTTGAAATTCTGCTTACCGCCAATCAATTCTTACAACTTCTTGCAATCTAGCTGCTCATTGGCAAAGATGCGGGCTGCATGAGACGCGAAGTCGCTTGTGTCTCTGCCATCTGAAAGAATTGCAGGCTGTTAGGATGCCCCATTTTCAAAGTAGCAGGGCAAGTCTACATATAGCTTCGGCAAATGATCTGAAAATCATTGCAAATGATTCAGATGCAGCTTATGTGGCGCAACACTGCCAGCCCCCAGTGTAATGACTTCTTTGGACTGCCAAACACATCTGGCAAAGATCGCATAAGGTTGAAAAAATCTGCGCCAAATTGCGCAGGCGTGCCCTCAGCTTGGTGCAGAGAAAAAACCCTACCAAGTCCGAGAGTTGTGATCTGTTAAGCTGCGTGTTCGTATGCTAAAGCCTACTGAAATGCGCTGAAGAAAGACTCTGCACCTAGCAGGTTTGCATGCAGATAACGCTGGTATTAACATGTCAGTCAAACCGTTCCGATGACTCACCACAATCCAAGGAGGCCAGCAAGCACAATCAAAGAGTCCATGCTCTTCCCCAAAATGTCCGCCTCGGATGAGCGGAATGCGCTGCCTACTCAGGAATTACTGACCTCCCCCTAATCACAACCCCCCACAAGCTCCCGGATGCCCCCTGATATGTCATGGTACCATATTGGGAACTGTTTATTTTTGGGGTGGGAGGTAAACTATCAGGGGGAACGGAATTACCATGGCTTGGCATTATCTGGAGTGCCAGGCCAGGCGCTGTACAAAAGCGGCTGCAATCACCTGAAGTCAAGCACTTGCATGGAATGATCCCAAGGGCCCCTGGAAAAAGAAAAGTATGATAAGGGTAGGACTAAAAGTCCGAATCAGACTTCCACGTTGAAAGCAGCCACCATCACATTGTTCTCTTTAGCCTCCGCCATATCAAGGCATGCTTGATTGGGATCATGCTTGCAGGAAGCCGCGCCTCCTTGACTAAGCCCAAATACTTGTCAGAGCGATGAGTGGCGAAAACCACTAGTCTGCAGGCAGGCGGACTTATGGATGCAGCTGGGTGCTGTTGATGCAAACGGGAACGCAAGAAAGCTCTGCAGGCATGCATGAACCAGCTCTCGGAGAATGAACCCGCCACGCTATAGAAATGCTGCAGACTGTCTCACGAGTCTCAAGCCGCAAAAGCATCCAATCCAACTCAATCCAGTCTGCTAGAGATCTGGCTCGGCCTGTCGACCTGACCCAGGATGCGCGTGTTGCACCTCAGCAGGCGCTGACGCGTGCAACTTGCCCTGATCCCCAACGACCTGCAAGGAAACTCAGCTAACTAAGCGTCTTGACGAGGGCAGAGGAAAAATGGAGCACCGCAATGAATCATATGTGGAGGTGTGCCGGGTGGCTATGGGAAGTCTGTGTGGGCTGAACCAAATGAATCCAAAACGGCACGGCCAGAAAAAAACACCACCTCAAATGACATCTTTGTCGAAGGCCAGCGTTGAGACATCCCTCAGGCTCAAAGGCTTGAGATTTTTTGTGATGCCCGCCATCCTGCTTTTCTCCTTCAAACTGACACAACCCCAATCCCCATACAATCCAACAAAGAAAGCCGCGGCACTTCGCAGCAGCAGCGGCTAACTCCAGATGGTCACACTCCCGATGCGAGCAGACAGTCGCCCCCTCGTCCTGGCACCATGACAATGTTTATTGAACTTGGTTTGACGGACAAACTGTTTTTTCTTTAAAAAAAATTGCAATCCTCGGCGAACCTAATTAACCAAAACAAGAATGAGTACAGCGAATGATCTTGAACAAGGACATGCACCATCGTAACAAGCGTGCCGCTGTCCTTGCATCTTTTCAGCAGGGCCTCGGAAGAGCACAAATTGCAAAAAACACTGGCATGTTTCACGGCACTCGCCTGAACCTCGTCGTCTTGCTTTTCCAGGCTTTGTGGAAGCTCAACTGTAAGCAACTCAGGCCTGACATCTTCGCCAATCAACGAGCTGTGCATCAGCAAAAAACGCCCATGTGTTCTGCAGAACGTCAGAGGCCAAGCTCTGCTTCCTCATGCTAGAGCTGCGGCAACTAATTCCGGATTCCGGTCCGTGAGAAACACAAAACGCCTTGCCGCGCACCCAGCCTTCCTTTATCGAGGACAGCTTTGATCACGGCCGAGTTCGTACCACTGGACCTGGCAAGGTTTCCCTATCATCAGCGTAGGAAAGCCGTCTGACACGGTGCAAAACATGAGCCGCGGACCCTGACGTGTAAATACGATGCCCTCTTTCCACATGGCCCTGCCACATGCCCCTCTGTGCACAGCGGACTCTCACATGCAACCTAACACAGCCAGCGCTGCAGACTAAGGAGGGGGCAAAAGCAACGAGCGAAGGGAATAAGTTTTCACGTTCCACTCGTTAGAAACGTGGCGCATGACTGTCTTCAACCCCCTCAAAATCATGCCTGGGTGAGTGCCTCGATCTCCTGTCATTCCGCAACAATTGCCACCACGTCGTGATGCTTTTTTTGCACACATTCATTGCTGGCAAAGTTGCACGTGCCACATGTGGCTGGCCTGTTGATGGTTGTATGTGCAATCCCGTGTTCCCAGAATGGCAACATTTTGTTGCGGATTCGTAAGTCGAGCCAGTTCCTGGCAGCCACGACTACAAGCATCAGTGATTGGCAAGAAAAACACAGAACACGTTGAGCGCCTCTTCTGGTGAGGTGTCACCATCGTAGTCCTTCCCAATTGCGGTGTGCAAGGAGGGTTTCATGCATTTTCATGCCAACTGCCACTGGGCATGCAGCCTTTTCCAACGTGGCTGTCTGATTTCCGGACCTTCCACCATCATTTGATGATGCCAGCAACTGCAAGCCAAAACGGGATCTTGTGTTGTTGGTGATACAGCCTCTGGCGGCCACCCAACAATCCCAATGGCCATTGCAAATTTCGAAGGAATCCAGCACGACCGACAACATCCTGCAATTGCATGCGTTGAGCTAGCTTGGCTTCATTTCATGACTTCCACGTGATCAACAGCAGCGGGGCCTGTGCACGCATTTTTAATCGCGCGTTGTTGCCGCAAGGCCTGCAAACGTAGCTGACGACTTTGCCCATCCATGGCCCGAGCATGGCGCACCACTGCAAGTACATGGACGTGAGTAATCCTTTGCCAAACGCAAAGTGCCTCCAGAAATCTGCCCAGGCTGATTTCCCACAAAACATAGGCGCAATGTTGGACCACTCTCACAATTCCGTATGGTGATTTGGTACAAAATTTGAAAACCCAATACTAAACCATACTATGCCACTCATGTTGCCGGCCTTGTTTCTTGACCACACCCCACACACGGAGAGTGACTCCCCCCCCAGCGGCCCAGCGGCCCATCAAAGCCCATTATTGGAGGGAGTGTTGCAGATCCAATTGCGTCGAACTGTCTCGCCTGCAAAATCAAGCACATATGCACACCCACTCCATGCCTCCACGGTTTCCGAAGTCGGTTCCAAACACGGTGGCTGCAAAGGCCAAGGCCTCAGGAGTGTTCAGCGTTGCGTTCGCAAATATTTGTTACGCGGCCTAGCCGCCAGGTAATCATGCAAAACATGGTGTCGTTTTTTTTCCCGGACTTGTCCTCGCAGCTGTCTGTCGTGGGTCGGTGGAAACTGCTACTTAAAATCTACGGCGCCGCCCCAAGCGCGAAGCGGCAGGCGGCTCTCAGCCACCGGGTATGTATGGCGCGCGTCCGTCAACACATCAGCCAGCGGCGGCTCCGTCCAATCACACTGATCCGACCTGTCCAACGGCAGCTCGAATTACAAGGCGAGTGCCCGCTGCACGTTGGCTGTCGGCGGTGGCCTGCCGCCTGCCGGGCTCCAGGCCGAAAACACGGTGCTGCCGCCCGCTCTGTGCAAGCAGCCAGGCGGCGGAGAAAATCCACCATCTCGGCGCCAAACGCCTGCCCACCTCGACCGCCAGCACCACCAAGTCACGCCTACGGGCAGCCAACAGCTCCGTGGCTTGGAGTTTCCGGCGGGCGGCGTCCGCTGCCACGCGGTCCGAGCCCACCCGTGCCGAACCGTCCTTTGCCACAGCGGCCAGCCGTTCGCCCGTACCTCGATGCAGCAAAGGTCCGCCAGTGGTACATCAACAGATTCAACGTTCATGTCGGGCAAAACGAAAATGCTCGTTCGACGGGCGCGCCGCGCCCAACACGCCCTATATGGGCACGCCCCCAAATGCTGCACGCGGAAACTTGTTGGAGATAGGCGGGGTTCGACGCGTCATCTCAGCTGCTGGACAACCGCCTCCCTCAGGGGCATGCGCCGTCCCCTCCGCGGGTGACAACTTGTCTGGATGCCGCAGCATGCGAAAGCCTCCCTCCTGACCTTGACCAGGCGTTACGCGCGCTGCTGTTATCCCAGGCGGGCCCCGGCGGCTCCGGCACTTTCACCGTGCTTCCCACAACCTCGGAGTACCGCATGCCCTCCGACCGCATGCGCGTGCTGTTGCTCAAGCGGTGCGCCTGCCGCTGCCCCTTGGGGGATTGGGTGTCATTTTGCTTGCAAGAAGCAATTGCGTGTTGGATTCTCTGCGAATTGTTTGTTATTGATCTTCGTTCTGTCGTGCAACGACGCAACTGCGAGGCAGCACGTCCTCCTTCGAGACTTGAACGTCGAGCCTGGGCGGCCAAACGAGCGCCCAATAAAGGTCATTGCCAACGGCCCCTTTTTTTGGAATGGGGCCCAGGTCGCGGTTGACACCACCCTCGTCGCACCGCTCACCTCCTCCTCTGGTGCTCCGCGCCGCCTCTGCGGCCACACTGCCGGGGCAGCCCTCCAAGTTGCCCGTCGAGCCGAGGATCCGGGCGTACTCTGAGCTCGTCGCTTCCCGGTGCTGCCATCTCACCGTCCTTGGCATCGAAGTCGGTGGCCAGTGGAGCTCCGAAGCAGCCACTTTCGTCCGCTTACTCGCATGCTGCCGCGCTCGGGCCGTGCGGGCCCCTTCTCGCGCAGCGTGCACCTCCGCCCTCGCACTTCGCTTGTCAGCCATCTTGTCATCACACCCGCGCGTGGGCTTTTTTTCCCTGGCCGGTACCGGCAATGTTGATGGCAACCTGCCCCTCATCAGAGATCTCCTCGCGGACTCGTCTGAAATCCCTTTCGCCAGCCGCATGCCCTGATGGGCCCTGCCAGTGGATTTGTGGATTTCGGCCGCCTCCGTGTTGCTCACACCGCCCGTGAGCTATCTGCACTGGGACCGCGGTAACTGTTTGCAAAAAGGTCCGTGCAAAAAAAATGTCGTAATCTACCCGTACTGCACCTTATTGATTTTGGTTGTTGATGACCTGAACAACAGATGGAAAAGTCGGCGCGAAGATTGCCTGACGAGCCGGGGAATTGGCCCGGCCTTTTTTTCACAGCAGGCGACTGCACGCTGCAAATTGTCATGTGGTTGGGGGTTCGGGTCATTAGGAGATATCGCATTTTGGTCACGAGCACACACATGGATAAGTTCGCGTCCAACCGGATGAGCAAGGGCGATATATATGCTCGTCTCTGACCGTGACCCACGGTTGTTCACGGACCTGCCTCTCTCATGCCAACGCATTGCTTGAGCAGTTTCATAAAGACGTACGGGACTTCAGGCTTTTCACGCGGAACTGCAGCAAGTTTGCACGCACAGCTCAAAAGGGCATCACCCCTTCCGCAGCTGGGTAAATGCAATCTGCGTAATTCAATGCAACGACGTTACTGCTTGCAAGGCTTCTTTCCCACATAATTTTTGATCCACTTCCCACCTGATCTGCCGCCCCCGAGCGTCGCTGTTTAGTGGCCGCTGTTGTTGCTACTCTTGTCACGAATCGCCCAAAGAGCTGTGCCTCGTAGACCGCCGCTGATGGCACTGTATGATGTTTAGCCGTAGATGCTGGGAGGGGTTTTGTCATTTTCTTGTTAGGACATCAAATTGCCCCCATAAAACGTGACATGAAACGACAAAGGATGACGAAACAAATGTCACAAAAATGACAAACAAATCCCAAAATGGAGCTCGTGTGCTCCCGGGGCTGGGAAACGCCTCGGGGACGCCATTACATTGTCATTTCTTGTTGTGTTTTTGTGGGTGAAATGTTTTTGTGGGATGTTTTTGCTCTTATTGTTTGAGGGCTGGGCGCTTGGAATCGAAGGGCGCCTCACACGAACGAGAGCGCCATTCTGTTATGAAAAATCATCAGAAATCATGAGACGTTAAAAAATATCATGAAAGGTCATGCACCAGTAATTAAAAAGACTGGGAATGATGAAATATCATGATGAATATGTGAAATGTCAGGAAATCATAAAAAATGATGAGAAGCATGAAAAACGATAAAAATCACGAAAACGATGAAAATGATAATAAAAAAAATGAGTAAACTTAGAAAAAAATGGAAAATCATGAATTGTCACATGTAGGTAAATATATGATGAAGACGAAGCATGAAAATGCTGAGAGACCATGCACCATAATGGAAATCACGAAAAAAAAATCGAAAACCATGAAAAACAATGAACATGATTGAAAATGATGAAAACCATGAAAAGTTGTAGAAAAATTGCAAAACATGATGAAATAATGGAACCTTGGGCGACCACCGGGCAGCATGCGCTACAGCCGGGGTTCTTGCCTCGCGAGCCATCCCGCTGGAGCGTGGTCTGGCCAGGGTGTGCAAAAAGGCTGGCGCACGGGTCGCACAAAACGTGTGGCTGGCAGACGTGAACCTTGACGTGCCAATCCAAGATGCCCAACGCATCGAAATGGTCTGCAATGGACTGCCTTACTGGCACGGCAAGCAGCTTGCCGTTGATGCCACCATAGTCAGCCCTGTGGGCCGTGACGGGCAGCCGCGTGCAGGGGCGGAGTCGCGACCTTGCGTTGCCTCGGCCCACGCCGCCCAGCGCAAAAGACGCCGCACGTCCCCTGAACTTGCCCAGGCACGGCGCTGCCGCCGTGTGGTTTTCGGAGTTGAGGTCGGAGGCCGGTGGGCCCCGGAAGCCACGACATTTTCCTTTTTTTTGGCACGCACCTTTTTGCCGCCAATGGTTTCCGGGTCCCAGCGCAGTGGCGCCGCGCGTCCTGGACGGCTCCCGACAGGCCACTCAGGCCCGATGGGGCATGCGACCCGCAGCAGGCACCTCATGCCATCGGGCATCTGCGAGGAGCTCGTGCAAAGCCGGCTCCATTCCGGCAGCACTGTCGTGGGCCTCGCTCGGTAACTCAAGGAGCGACGAGGCCAGCGCGTGCTGCACTGCCACAGAGATGATGCCGCTCCACCGCTGGACCCAAGCGTCTTGCGCAGCGGGACGGACCGCAGGTGGCGCATTCGCCGCACGCGCACGCGCAAGCATGCAGAGGAAGGCCGCAGCTTCCGGAGCCCAGCGCCCGCCCACCTCCACACCGAAAACGACGAGGCGGCAGCTGCGAGAACGCCCTAGCACTGGGTAGGTCTGCCGTCGCTCGCGCTTGGCTGCATTGCGGAGCACCGTGCCGAGCACAACGTCTGCACGGGGTTGCGGCGTTCTGCCCCGCGCGATCGGGCTGACGATGGTGGCATCCACCGCAACTTGCGCGCCATGCCAGAACGGCAGCCCATTGCAAACGACCTCGATGCGCCGCGCATCGTGGACCGGCACATGGAGGTTCATTGCTGCCAACCTCACATTCCTCCCCACACGCGCGCCTGCCTCCTGGCAAACACGGGCGATGGCGCGCTCCAAGGGCAAGGCCCGAGATGCAAGGGCACCTGACGTGGTGCAGGCCGCTCGGTGGTCCCCCAAGCACATCCAGCGCGCAGCGGCAGGAACAATGGCTGGGGCCGAGCGGCAGCGGCAAGCGCAGCAGGCGGAGAACGAGGATGCGGAAGAGTGAGCTGGGAACGGCGAACTCGTCCCACGTTGGGAGGACAGTGAACACTCGCGCCGCATTGGGCCCAGCTTGCGACAGCAGCAACGCTCGAGACGCAGGGGAAAGTTCAGGAAGGTGCGTCGCAAGCACGCGCTCGTCACAAGCCCGGGCTGCCTGGTGTTGCCAGCCTCGCAAGAAGCTTCCAGGCTCATCTTCGCGGTCGGTGGGGTCGGCGTGGTCCTCCAAGGCCTCCCCCCCAGCTGGGTGCCTCAAAGCCTTGTGTGCGGAGGTAGGCGGCGGCTGGCACCGCTGCCGTCAGATGGCACGTGCCCAGCGCTGGGGGCAAGGAGTCGGGCAGCAATACCGGGGGGCGCGTGTGTGGATGACTGGCAGCCTTTCCATCCAAAAAGCCCAGGAGGCTGCATGCCGGTCAGCAATTGCTTCGCGGAGACCCACGCCGCACTCCGCAGTGCTGGCGGGCGGCAGGGCGCATTTGTCCGATTGCTCGCTCGCGCCCGCGCGGCTGCTGTCCCGGCACCCCTCCGTGCTGCAGCGAGAGCCGCCTGGGTCTTGCGGTGGAGCGGCATTTTGGCGGCTGCGGCACAGCGAGCCCTCGCTGTGTCCCTCCTTGGACTCCCGCCTGGCCATGA